TGGTTTCTGCACATGGTATCGAGATTGGAAGGTAAGTTTGTATGCTTCTAAAAAGAAAGTAAAAGGCAGATAAAGAAAAAGATTATCCACACTACAAGGAAGCAGCCAACCCCAGAACATGGGACCTTCTACAATGCAAATGATCTATTTTCTACAATAGATCAGTGGCATTAAAAAAAATTGGAGTGGGCTGAAGAGCAGAGAAGAGTGAAGAAGTATGATGCAATGCAAAGTGTAGACCTTATATAGATCCTGCATCAGAGAAAACAACTATAAAATTAGGGTTGAGATAAAAAGTACAATTAAACATATATTGATGGTATTAAAGAATTATTGGAATGTTTGGTGTGATAGTGGCGCCCTGGTGGTGATATCAAAAGCTGTTTTTATGTTTTAAAATCAAATAATGATGTATTTGCAGATGAATGACATGATATCTGGGTTTTCCTTTAGAACATTCAGAAGAAGAATTAGAGGAGAGTGGGTAAAACTGCGTGTGCAAAATTGTTGATAAATATTTCAGTTGGGTGAGTAATACATAAATTTTCATTATACTATTCTGTCTACTTCTGTGTACATTTTGTATTTTCCATAGTAGCAGGTGTTTTTTTTTTTCTGCATTTATTAAAATGAACCATTCAGCAGACCACTGTGTACAGTCTTTAGGTTCACAGAAGCTGGTGTTTCAAGAACCTCAGTCAGCAGCGTGCTGTTAGACGATTTGATGCCATAATAGCGTGCAACTTCAGAAATATTAGGAAAGTCTGTAGTTAAATGGAAAAACTACTATCTTAATTCTCTTTTATTCAATTATTCCCCATATATGGCTTTTCTTTTTTAAACATTTTTTTAAAATTTGAAATATATGCAGAAAAGTGCATAAAATAAATGTATAGTTTAGTAAATAATTAAAGAGCAAATACTGTATGATCTTCACTCAGGTTAAGAAATAAACTATTGTAAGAACAGAAAATCACTTTGTATACCTTCTTGATCATAACCTTTTCCCCTTACCTTGAGGCACTTCTTAACTCATACTTAGTTTTGCCAGCTTTTGAATTTTATATAGACGGAATGATATGGTGTATATTATTTTCCCTTTGCTTATTTTGTACAACATTATGTTTGTGAGATTCAGTCACACACTTTTTGCTTTTAGCTGTAATGCAATCATTTTTATAGCTCTACAGTATAATAATTCTGCTGTAGACATTCCTGTACATGTAACTTTGGGCACAAGGACACGGTTTCCTGAAGGCTTATACTCAGGAGGAGAATGGCTGCTTCATCGGATGTGCTGCTTCTTAACATAGATGCCCATGTACGCTTATATCTGTCTTATCTGCTTTGCCAGTATACGCATTATTGTCTTAACTTCAGCCAACTTACTTTGATAGGTAGTCTTACTTTGATAGGTAGTCTTTTCATAATTATAGTTTAAAATGGGTCTAATTTTTATTGTTATTTCTTCTTTAACCTGATTCAGAGGAGCATTTCTCAAAAAAAATTTTTTTTGAAATTGAAATAAATACAGAAAACTGTACAATTATAGTTACTACAGCAAAAATGAGCAGCTCCATATGTTTACCACTCAAAAGACCCTCTCATGCCTCCTCCCAAGGCCAAGAGAGGGCCAAGGGTTTAAATTAAGGAAGTACTTACTTTCAGAGTCTGGCAAGTGCAGAAGCGGCATTTGCCTGATAGTGAATGCATTCTTAAATTTTGCCTCCTAGGTATCTCACTCTCTCATAATCCTAGTTCAGGCCCTGGCAGCCATAGACGATATGTAAATAAATGACCATGGCTGTGTTCCAATGAAACTTTATTTACAAAAACAAGCAATGGGCCAGAATTTGCCTGTGGACTATAATTTCCTGACTTCTGACCTAGATTCTTCCTTCTGACCTATCTGCCAGCTCACTAATTCTCCCTTCAGCTTCATCTAATCTGTTGTTAATCTCATCTCTTTACTTTCTTTTTCACTTCCAGCATATCTATTTGCCATTTTTTTTCTCAAATCTGTGCTATCAGTATTTACAGTTTCTTACTTCCTAAAGACGTTTTAAGCTTGACTTTTATTTCTTTCAGTCATAGATGTTAAGTAAGCATAGTAGTTTTATGGTCTGTGACTGATAATTCCAGCATTTGAAGTCTTGCAGCTCTGCTTTTGATTTTTGCCCATATTTATTTCTTTGAGTGCTTATTTATCTTTTATCCTGTGCTCCTCCATATCCTTGCAAACGTTTCTGTGGAGATAATTTGAAGCCTAGGATAAAAGTATATTCGTCTAGAGCAGTGGTTCTACAGGTGTGGCCCCTAGACCAGCAACATCAGCATCACCTGAGAATTTGTTAGAAATGCAAATTCTTGGGCCTCATCCCACACCCACTGAATCAGAAGGTCTGGAGTTGAGGACCAGCAGTATGTGTTTTAACAACCCTCTGTGTGATTCTGATGCGTGCTCAAGTTGGAAAACCACTGCTTTCAGAAAGATTTTCATTGTTTACGTTCCACACCCAGTCTTTCTGGAATCTAGTTAAATTCACGTCTTGAGTGTTTTGGGCCTCTTAGACGATGTAAATCTGGTTGACTTGAATGTCAGATTTGCCCTGGGGGCATGTAGCCACTGTGGTCTCAGCTTAATAGGGGGAAAGTCTCTTAGACCCTCCACCTCAGGCAGACCCTGGATTTGATTTCTGTTTCTCTCTTTCCATATGCCCCCTCCAACCAAAATTCAAAGTTTCCAAGTGGTAAAGGCTTCAGGTGAAAGGAAGGTCAGTGGCCCCCTTTTCTCTGGATTCAAACTTGCCCCTCAGATGTGGCTAGTCATTCCTTACCATCTTGTTAGCTGACTGATGCCTTTAAGAGGATGTTTTTATGTTTCATCCAGCAATTTCAGTTTGTTTCTAGCCAGAGAGTCAGTCCCAATCTCCTACCCTCCCCCCATTATAGGAGATGACCTCATGCAGGTATTTCTAGGATCACAGTAAGTCCCCTACATACAAATCTTCAAGTTGTGAACTTTCAAAGACGTGAACATGTGTCCACGTGTCCAATCACGTAAGTTAATTCACGTGTCTGGCATACACTGTCACATGCGTGCATCCTCTACAAGTGGTTGTGCTTTCATGTACTTTGCTGTACAGAACTGTATAGAGTACAGGAGTACAGAATCTTTATTTCAAGCCCAGGATGTCTAGGAGTAAATGGAAGAAGAAGTAACTGAAGAACCAAAGAGATTCACGACGCAGGAAACGGCAAGGGGATTTTCTTTATCTGAGGAGGCACTGTTAGTTTTTGAGGTACAGGACCCGAACGTAGAACGGTACACGAAGGTTGCAGCAGACGTTCAGAATGCAATCCAGTGCCACCGTGTCATCTATGATGAGAAAAAAAGAGCTACTACCCAGACATCACTGGATCATTTTTTCAAGAGGTTAGATAGCATTGAATCCAGCAAGGAACCGGAGCCTGCACCATCAACGTCAGGCATGAGTGAAATTGCAGCTTGCCCTCCATCCCCTATTGCTGACGATCCTTCAGCTCTATCATCTCCCACCTCCTCTCCCCCCTCCAGTCAGTAACTCTTCTTGCCTGTTCCCTCGATGCCAGCCCCTGGATGCCAGCTCTTGTACTGGACTACTGTAGTTTTCAAGGTAGTGTAACATTAAAAATGTTTATTTTTTGTGTTTGTTTGTTTTGTATATATTCTTTGTGTGAAGAGTATTATAAACCTATTACAGTACATAGTATATAGCCGACTGTGTCAGTGGGGCTCGTAGGCTAACTTTGTTGGTCTTACTGACAAATTGGACTTATGAACGCACTCTTGGAATGGAACTCATTTGTATGTAAGGGACTTACTGTATTTGTTTTTATCTAAACACAAGAGAAAACAAAAAATGTAGACAGTTTACCTTAGTGGGGACATGACACTGATATGAAATGTTCTTAAAAGGCTTACATTGTGTCTTGAGATTTATGCCTCAAAAATATACAGATTTACTCACCAATGAAGCATTCTGACCTTGTTAAGACTGCTCTCCGGATGCTGAAAGATCTTTTGCTTCATACATATATCACAAGCCTTTGGAAGTGATGTAGCAATCACCTGAGACTTAAATTTAATCTCGGATGGTTTCTATTCATGTACTTATTATGAAAAATATGTTGGCAGAGAGTTGATGGGTTTTATCATTCTGAGGTGGAACGTTGCTATAAGGAAGTGAACTTATCGACTGTTCGATGAAAATAACATATTTATGCAAAATGTTTCTGTAAAGCAACATCTGCTTTTGGCTTGAGGAGACATATTCGCACAAGAATGGAGACAGAGATGTAAGGGAAGTTGATTTAATTTAAGATCCCAACTCTCTCTACCAGGACTTCTTTATAGATAGTGCGAAAATATTTCATGGACAGATATTGAAATTTCATAAAACCCCAGTGTTTTGTGGCAGACCTGATGGCATTTAAACTAGCCGGTGGATTCTGAAGAAGGGCAATGTGGACTCTAGTGAAAGAAGCCCAAATGTAATTCTCTAGAGAAATTTGGATGAAAATTCAGTCTCCCTGGTGCGCTTTTAAGTGACTGTTCTGTCCTCTGAACATACTGTGTTCAGACAACTAAAATAAATGCCAAAGGAGCCTGGAAAACTAGCAGACCAATAGAACCAGGATGTGGAGATTTTACTACAAGAAGAAAGGATTTAAAGTGTTACCTCAGAAAATTTACCCGGATTCATGATTAGTCATAAAATCTCTTTCTTTTTTAACCTAAATCACAGTCTGCATCTTCAGATGTTGTCTGTTAGGTACATCTGTGAGAGCAAGCATGATCCAGAGGCTGGGCTTGGGTATGCAACACATTTGTGGTACTTTCTATAAAATGAGCCTGTGAGTGAACTTATTTATAAGCTCAGGTGGTATGATTTCCAGACCCACCAAAGTTGTTTCTTCCTTTTTTTTTTTTTTTTCCAATTCTACAGCTAAAATTTGGATGTTTATGGTATCAGTGGTAAGACAGGAGCCTAAAATTCCCATAAGGTCCTACTGCTGTAGTGAGTCATTTATCTGAGAAAGATTGACTCAAAAACAGGGATGCTCACCTTCAAGGTCACTGAAAAACACTTTGTATTAAACACATTTTCAGGACTTCCACATGTCATTGGAGGTGACACCAATGACAGGTGACAGAGCAGGTGACACCTGCTCTCAGATGTTTACGTGGCTCTCACGCTGCTCACTGAAAATACACAAGCTGATCAGTGGGAAAAATTGTCCAAAGGCTTTAGCTATATTCTCTGCTTAATATCACCACATGAAACTATGCTTTTCTTTCATTTCTTATATCCCAAAGTAAATATGGTTAAGATAAAGAAGAGGGCATGAGGGTATAAAAACTTTTTTCTTTTTCCTGTTGAATCTGTATACCTGACCAGTTTTTAGCCAGTTGCTTCCTAATTTTCTTTTGCTTTGAGTTGCCTTGCCTTGCTTTTCTCTTCAAAAATCCTAGATCCCCTATTATGTTTCCAATACTATGCAAAAAATCGAAAGAGCCCATCTTTGCCCTTGAAGAGCTCCATCTAATAGGTACTTAGAAAACAAATGAGGATGTGGTCCAATCTGCAAACAGAGGCATGAGCAGTGATATATGAGAATTTACATGAGTGCAGTGGGAATTTCTTACTATGCCAAGGTAAAAATTTTTATTTGAAAAATATTGTTTACAAATACAGTGGAGCCATCAATATAATTCATAGTTTATACATAATGAAAATCACAGAGAAACACAAAATCACCTAACAGATCAACTGAAGAGCTGGTACTAAGATTTGATGAGTAATCCATCAACATAGCTCCCAGTCAGCTAGCTCATGTTCTCCGGTGAGTTCTGAGGTGTGTGATGGGGAGTGCGGTTCAGCACCCCGGACAGGGCCACCTCTGCCCATGCCTTAGACCGCAGCATCTGCTCCTGTGTTCCTCCTACACTGGGTGCCACAGGATGACTGGTGAGCAGGACGTGATGTTATTAACAGAATTGTGGTAACCGTTGTTATAACCCTATGCTTGATGCAGGTGCTTTCAGAATACTGCCGAGGGCGTGAACACCTCATCGACTTGCTGTTCTGAAGCTCACTCCTTTGCTTACAGAGTGTAAGTGGCCCTGAGCAGACTGTGGAAGCTCGAGTTATTTGTCAGTGGTTTTTATCAACAGTTACATTAAGCCAGACCTGTTCTTACTGTGAATCTAAATTACAGGTGTGCCATCAGACATGAGTTCTGTTTTGTTTTTGCACTAAAACTGCTGTGTTATTTAGCCTTTGGGAAGAGAAGCTGGAGGTGAAGTGTGTGAGGGAAGATCAGCATTTGAGTTTCTGGATGTGTAATAGCTCTGCCCACCCCAGTGCTGCTAGGCATTTTCACTCTGTGGATAATGCTTGTAGAGTATATAACTGTATGTTCAGAAAATCCAAGGCAAGCACCAGAAAAATTAACATAGTTAAAAACATATATGTGAGTAGCCTGGTTGAAAATTATTTAAAAATCAATAACTTTCCTATATGCCAGCAATAACCTCTTAGAAAATATAATTAAAAAAACGGATCCTAGTAATAAACAGAAAATATTTTAAAAGGCCCATAAGTAATCTTACCAAGAAATGTGCAGGACTTATATGAAAAAAGTATGAGATATCACCGAGGGTCATAAACATAGAATTTAGTGAGAGGAAATCTTTTTTCCCGGAAGGCAAACAGAATACAATATTTTATTTCTTCTAAAATTAAGTGTAAATATAAATACAATTGCAATAAAAATTCCAACTGAACTACTCCAAAATGTATCAGTAAAAATAATGTGAATAATGTGTAAAAATGGCTAAAGCTTCTTTAAAAGAAGAAAAATGATGTGGGGTTGTCATTAATGGATAATAAAACATTATAACAGTGATATTCAATCAAACCATATATGGATAAAATCCAGCATGGTAAAAGGCAGTTTTCTAAAAATAATACATGATTCAATGTATGATGTTGGGACAATGGGCTGTGTATAAGAAAAATATATAGTTGAATTAGAATGCAAAAATAATTTCATACTAGTTTCCTGATATAAACATTATTCACTATATTAAGAGAATAAGAGGTTGTGTCAATGAGAACTGAGATTCCACTTCTGATGATGCAACCCCAGAAACCAGTACTGATACAGAGACCTTGGAGAAGATGGGAGTTTCAGTGTTGCTATGAATGAAAACAACAAAGACGAAAAGAGACCAGACTTGTAATAGGGCATGGGTCTTGGCGAGTAAAGCATGGCCAGAATTTTGGCCTCCCCACTCTCCTATCCCCCAAGACTCTCTTTGGCCAGGAAACTTTGTGCAGTGCACATAATGCACCACTGTGCTCGCAGCCAGCCCTGAGTGGGGGTGATGCTCACACATTCTGGAGGGCAGCTTGGCACATCACACATACCTATTGCTGCTTCCAGACTTTCCTGGTATAGAAAGGTATCCCAGGGAGATGAGAGAAAAAGCACAATGGGAAAAACTTTAAATAAGCAAATTACTTATTAATAAGGTGTTAGCCAAGAAATTGTATATACTTATGAAATAACATTCTTTAAAAATTTTTAACGAATATGATAGTTTAATAATTAGCATGTTATTGGAGATAAAATTTACATTTCTTCCACTAACAGCCATGCTAAGCATTTCTGTCTCACTGATAATTGGCAGTTTGTGTCCTTGACACCCTTTCTTCCTTCCTTCCTTCTTCCTTCCTTCCTTCCTTCCTTCCTTCCTTCCTTCCTTCCTTCCTTCCTTCCTTCCTTCCTTCCTCCCTCCCCCCCTCCCTCCCTTCCTTCCTTCTTTTTTCTTTTTTTTTTGTTTGTCATTCACTGTGTATGTTTAAAACTGAGGAAACATTATAATCAGAAAAAGCACATTCTTAAACAACAACAAAAGTCCACAAAGACTATTTGAAAACAATTCAAGAGATTGGTCTGTTACTTGTTTATAATTAAATAGTGGAAGTCGCAGCTAGAAACATGAACTAGGAACAAGTTTGCAATATGCCTTGAATCCCAAGCAGAGCAGATTGAACTTTATTCTGGGGATGACCGAGAGCATTTGGAAATTTTGAGTAGGAATGGAATGAGACAGATGCAGTGCTTTAAGTATTATTATCTACTTCATAAGGAAAATAGTGTAGAGCTGGCTCAGAGCTCTGTCTCTCCCCGCCCCCCCCAATCTCCAGTCATCAGGTGGCGACCTGCTGGCCATCTCCTGAAGTTCTACTGTATAATCACCTGGTGTGAAAAAAGACAATGAGGTATAAATAAGGTAGCGGCCTGACACCAAGCAAAAGAAAATTTTTAGGCTCTAGATTAGAAATTGTGCTGCAGGCGAGGATGTTAAAGTGAGAAACAGTTTCAAAAAAAAAAAAGTGATGAGGTGAGGTGCTGGAATAATTTAAAATGAGATGGGTCAAACCCTGCTAACTTTGAAGAGTAATTGGGATGAGAAGCTGAAATTAGATGGCTTTTGGTTTTTTCTACCTCTTTAATTTCTGCGAGTAATCTGCCATTACCAAAGAATTATGTCTCTTCTTCTAAAGACGGTATAAATTTGAAATAGCCGTAAATAGCCATTAGTCTCTGATCTTGATTTTTTAATTTTTGACCCAAGAATACAGAGCATGGTGGAAGTCTTTGCAGCCTCCTCTCCCACTTTGTTTTCTTGTTTGCAGCCCTGAAGCTGGAGGTCATAGACATGCCAGTAGCCCATCTGGGAGAGCACGGTCCTTGGGAGCGCACTTCCCCACCTCCTCGCCAGGACCTCCATTGCCATGTGTATTGCCGACATTCCACCTGCTCTGGGAAGCTGTATGTAAGTCATCAGTCACTAAGGGAGCCGTGGTCCTGACCTGAGGAAGGGGAACGCGCTGGACAGTGGTGGCAGAGATGAACTCGTTACTGTCCAGAAAAGACCTGGAAAAAGTGGCACATTTTTTCCTTCCTCCTAAAGAAATTATTTCAAAATTTGGAGGAGGGAAGAGTTCAGAGGAGGGAACAGTTTGGACTAGGAACGTACACAGTCTGAATCCAGGAACATCAAAGAGCCCATGACCTTAGCTTGGGGAAGGGTTTTCTTCGGAGCGTTTGGATGTTTGGTGGCTCCCTTGGCTTTGAGGTGGATGTGGAAAAGCCTTGTTTCAGGGATGCCTTTGTCACTGGTGCAGAAAGTATGGGGAGCTCCCTGCTTTATTAGACTTGCTCTAGGGAGAAAGTAAAGGGGTCTTTAATATCTCATTTCACCTCTTCTGGTCTAGTGATGAGCTGAGAAAGGCAGCCTGAGCCTGAGGACAGCTTTGTGATTCCCTGAGGAAAACCAGCGGCTGCCAGTGTTTCCAGAACTTGAGAACAATATATATTGGGAAGCAGGTAAGAAACTCCACCACTCTATTTTTGCTTATCTCTTTGTTGGGATCAAATGTTGGTGATAGATTGGCTTGCTTAATGAGGTGATACACTTTCTACCAAGAAATTTTCCAGACTGTATTGAACATGACAGTTAAATATTCACTATCATTAGATATTGCAAAGCAAAAGGTCTAAAAACTCCATGAATTTTTTTTTCTTGAATAACATAATCTTCCTAAAAACTATCAAAAAGATGATTGAGTACTGATTCAATGCCCGGGTATATCCAAGTAAAAACTAAACTGCTTAACCAAAATAACATGACTCCAATAGAAAGTATATTAGAAAATCCATGCATTGAGCCTTGACTATATTACTGCCTTATGCTGGACACTCTGACATACACTGTCTCATTTACTCCTGACAATAACTCTGTCAGTGAAAGACCAATGTTCCCATTTTACAGATAAGGGCCAGGAGGCTAGTGGAGGTCAAGGGACATCTGGGGTGCAATGGATATGTGATCCTAACCTAATTCTTCTGACAATGATCCAGTGGTCTTCTCTTTCACCAGAAACAAATGGGTGAACTATTAGAACTTACAAAACAGGTCAGTGATTTTCATCTCCAGCTTAAATTTTGATGGGACCAAAGAACCGAAATATTCTTTAACGTTGGTTCATAGCTGGGCGAACAACTCTGTTCCCACCTGTTTGATTTTGGATTTGTAACATTTTGTCAAAATATTTCAATCTTTATATTTAAAGATTTTTAAATCTTTTATATTTAAAAATCAACATTTATTTATATTTAAAAATCAACACTTACACTTGTGATCATTAATTGAACATTTATAATCCTATGTCACAGCTGAGCTTTTGCTGAGAATGTTGGTTTGTTTACTCTGGGGTAATTGCATTGTTGTGTACAAATTCCATTCTTACTCAAATCACCATCTAACTCGGTAACTTTCAGTATGGCCAATGAAACTCATTTTCTCTATAACAAACCTCTAAAGGAGAGTTGATTATTATCCTTTCATATAAAAAGAAATGAGGCACAAAACAGTTCAATGGCTGCTTGGATTCATGTGGCTGGTGATGTAGTTCAAGCTAAAAGGTGCTTTTCAGGTACATCATATATTGCTCAGCTGGAGGCCTCCAAGTTCCTCCTGAACTCTGAGGCTCCACTTTGCTTTAATAACTTAATAGAATGGCTTAAACTCCTATATCATGTGTTACATTATGGGGAGGCTACATTCTTCTCAAACATCCCAAATACTCTGAGCATTTGCGTTTCCATGGTTATATGTTGCTTTGAATTCCCACTGACACCAAATTCTTGTTACCCCAGTTGCCAGTCTCCTTCTAGAACAAGCACTGTTGAATGAGGCATCCCTTTCTAAAGGTTCTTCACCTGTGTCCATCACAGAGAATATATCACTGGGCTTCTTTTCCTCAGCATGCAGCTGGCTTGAGGTTCTCTGTGCTGAGGACCTTCCTTCCATCCAGTTTTCTCTATCCTAAAACCTGTCTTCCAAATATTCAAAATGAATAGTTATTCCTTTTATTTGATATGCATATAAAGACTTTGATTGAAGGTGTCCTATTTAGTCTATGTTTATAAGTAACTTTTTTTTTTTAATCAATCAAACATACCATGCTTCTCTTAAACATACAAGAAGTTTTCCCCTTAGGAGGAATCTGCCTACAGAGCAGATATAAGTTCAAATTGCAGCTGAGGTTTTTTTTTTTTTTGGCGGTACGCGGGCCTCTCACGGCCGCGGCCTCTCCCATTGCGGGGCACAGGCTCCGGACGTGCAGGCTCAGCGGCCATGGCTCATGGGCCCAGCCGCTCCGCGGCATGTGGGATCTTCCCGGACCGGGGCACGAACCCGTGTCCCCTGCATCGGCAGGCGGACTCTCAACCACTGCGCCACCAGGGAAGCCCATGCAGCTGAGTTTTGAAAGTAGAGATTTTGTCTTTTGCTATGTTGATTTCACATTTGGGCAGCTGGAGAGTCTCTGATTGTAATTTCTTTGTGGTTTACAGCTTTATTTTCTCACCCAGTGTTTATTCTCTTTAATAGCAGAGGTATGACTTTTTGGGGGGTGAGAGTTGGAGGACAGTGATGTGCTCCATTGAAACGCCGATTTCCTTGTCTCCCTTTTAGCTGGTGGTAGGCTTGTGGAATTACCCCATCAGTAGTGCTCTCAGGTTCAGGCATGGGGACCTCTGCCCTGAGCTCCACAACTCAGAGGACCCCACATACCACAAATAGACACAAAATAACTTATTAAGGAACACAAATGCCTCTGTCAGACTGAAGATCTGTCCTTGAACTTGGACAGATCCTAACCCTCTGCTCTCAGGACTGACACTCCTCTGGCCCAGGAAAATGGAAATCCTTCTCTTATTCTCTCTATGCAAAACAAAGACCAGGTAAACCCCAGTTCGGGGAAGTGTTGTGTATCATGCCACTGCCGACTTTGGAATGGACCTTGCTCTGAAGTCAGGGAGGATGTGAGTAGCAGCAGGGCTTAGACAAGAAAAAAGAAATATGAATTTGTCACCTCCTTCGTCTCATATGCATAAATGGGCAAGATTCTTTGTAATAAAATATCACTTTAGACCAGTGCTGTGCTTCCATTTCCTTGCTTCTTTATGTGCTCCTATTTGGGATTCCAGAGGTAATCGTTAATTAGTTCAGCATTTACAAGAGCTGTATATTGACATTTCACAGCATTAAACAAGTCATACAACACTTAAATTTGAATATCTGCAGATCTAGACATAATGTGTGGAGCACGGTAACAGTGTTTGATATTAGCAACAAACACTAACATTATGAGTGGTTTTATTTTTGTAAATATACTTAATGTAATTTGATTAAATTTCAAAATAATTAAATAAAACTTTTTTAAGCCTAACCTAAATAACTTAATATAAGTAAAATATTAAATTTTTCAGTTTAACCTAAAACTTAATCTAAATAGCAAAATAATCTTACTCTAGTACACCTGGTGTATATAACCACTTATATGGTTAGTTCAGTAATTACACAGTTCTCTGCCAAATTTATAAGAATGAAAGTTGTTATGGCTGAATGTTTGTGCCTGCCTGCCCACCCCCCCAAATTCATATGTGAAAGCCCTAACCCCCAATGGCCTGGTATGCAGAGCCTTTGGGAAATAATTAGGTTTTGGATAAGTAGGTTTAGGAGTACATGAGGATGGGCCCCTATAATGGGATTAGTGTCCTTATGAAAAGAGCAAGAGAGACAAGAGCTCTCTCTCCACCATGCCACATGACAACACCGTGAGAAGGTGGCCACCTGCCAGCCAGGAAGAGGTTCTCACCAGGATCTGAATCTGTTGCTGCCTTGGTCTTTGTCTCTAGCCTCCAGAGCTGTGAGAAATGGATGTCTGTTGTTTAAGCCACCTGGTCTATGGTATTTTGTTACAGCAGCCCAAGATGATTAAGTTAGAAATATTGGGCTGGCCAAAAAGTTCACTTGGGTTTTTCCGTATTTGTTATGAAAACCCCGAACGAAGTTTTTGGCCAACCCAATACTTTGAGAACAAGGACTAAGTATTATTTTAATTTTACCAATACCGTGGAAGAAATCTGTAAAATATACCCACCGATGTTCTCTGCTACAAGTACAGTTTCAGTGGAAATGATGCTCTTGTGCCTATTGGTAGCTGTTCTCTCTGTTCTTGGTCTGGATCCCATTTCCCCCCATCTTCTCAGGGACCTACACCTGGAGTTATCCCTTCTCACACTTTTATCATTATATCATATTTTGTTGTGTCTTCCATGCTAGAAAGAGAAACAAAACCTAAACCAAATCATTGCACTATATTCCCTAACAGCTACAGTGCATATCTCCACTTGCTTTCACAGGTAAATTTAATACATTCTACTTCCACAGTTGCCATTCATTCCTCAAATAATTCCTCTTTGGCTTCAATCGCTACCACTGCATTGAAACTACTTTTGTCAATAACTTTCCTGTTACCAAATCCAGGCAACATTTTATGCGTTTATCTTGTCTGAACTGTTAGTAGCATCCCACACAAATGATACTCCCTCCTACTTGAAACATTTATTCTTTTCTTAGGTATCTTAACTCTCAGAGGTCCTCCTATCTCATTATTTATTTTCAGTGTTATTTTCCTTCTATTTCTAATTTCTAACTTTTGGCCAGCCTCAGTGTTTTATGCTTACATATAATCTAATTCAATTGATTTCATTTAGTCTCATGCCTTTAAAAATAACTAAGATAATTCAAAAGAGCAGATTCTAAAATCAGACTCAAAAGAATCAAATATTTTACTCACTATCAAAATTTAGTAATAGTTTCAAGGATATATGTAACTGTGAGGCACAGGAAAAGCAGGAAGCAGTTACAGCACAGCTATCTAAGGCAGCAGTAGGACATGCCCTGGTTCACGTTTAACATACGAAGTACGTAAGTAGTGTATGTACGTATGCTATATATGCAAAAAGGAGATGTTCTGGTTATGAAACACCTTCATTTTATATGTAGATGTTTATCTAAATTAAAGAATATTTGCCAGAAAGCTATTCCCCATAAATCCATAAATTCCAGTTTCGTTTGCCCTAAGCAATCCCAGATAAAACAGATATATCCTGATCAAACATTCCATAGGTAAGTACTCCCTTAGTAGCCAATCACTGTATATCTCAGGAGTGTGATCATAAACATGCTTACAAGGAGATTTGCTAGGTACCCTCCTTCTGTCTTTCCCAGGGGCATTGCTCTAGTAAAGGGAGAGAATGGATTGCAAGATTGCTGCTAACCCCATCCACCAAATTGATGTTGATGTGTTGATACTGATGTGGATGTTAATAGGTTACTACCTCCCAAATTGAAAGCTAGCTACCTTTACCCAATGCCATACTTAACACCATCTGTTATATGGTAGGCACTGTCCTGGGTGCTGAGTGTTCAAACTAGATTAAGACACAGTCTAAGCCCTCATTCCTTCCTCATTGTAAAGCAATTATGCTCCAATAAAGATGTTAAATAAAAACAAACAAAGAAACAAAGAAAAACATTTGGTTTCCAAAAGTAGAACTTTATTTTAGGATTGGATTTTTTATAGTTTTAGTGACTGAGAGAATATATCAAACCAGACACTATGTTCAAGTCAGTTATTACATTTTATAGATAACCTTTTGTGTTTCTAGTACACAAAGAATGAATACATCAACCAAATCAACATACTGTATTTATTTACCGGGGCTATGTTTTTACTGCTTTTCAGTAGTGTTATTATCTAGCACTGTTGCCTAATATACTCTGAGAATATTGTTTCCCTCTGTGTTTTCTGATATAATCTGGAAAAATAAAAACCAGAAGCAAAAAAAAATTAGGTAAGTGATTTTACTGTTTGTATTTTGGTAGTTGCTTTATATCTTACTATTTTTACATGAATAAACCTGAATGTTTTCCTGTATTCCATAGCTAACCGTACATAGAATAATGTGGTATAAAAGAAGCTCAATAAATTTATCATGAACCAAACATTATGATACTTCTTTCCTCTATTAAATTCTAAAATCCTTGAAGGGGGGCATATT